GATAATTTTATTCCGCGTATTTCTTTTCTCCCAAGGAAACTTGACCACCAAATTGCATCACTCCCGAAATGCATGAGTGCAAAGTTCAAGAAATGTCTTCTAATTCCAACTTACAAGATGAATATCACCATTTGAGCACTTACATTAACAGATTTTAAGTCAACTCAGCTGATTACAAAATTTCGCGAGAAAAGCACCAGTCTTTATGTTCATTTAGCTACTTTTGTTTTTCTTGGTATCATACCAGTGTGACACCACTTTATTCTTCCTTCCTTTTCGATTGCATTTAAAGGTACCATCGGTCGATTAAAATTGTGACCAATTTCTCCATAAGATACTCCAACGGCAAACTTGTACGTATTTTATACATAAATTGGATTAATTCGCCAGCCGCCCAAACATGTTTGATATGCACCCAAGCGTGAACAATTCACAGGGAATGAAGGAGCCAATTTGAAGCACGGAACTTATTTTTACCGCCATTTTTGCACTCTTAACCCTTCGGTTAACCGTTTTCTTGGCTCATGACGGTGCTCAATAATGATAATTCCAAGCCTTTCGAGTGTTTGACTCACCAGGCTACCTGTCAAGGCTATTAACGGGAGGCAAGGCTGCCATACAAAGCCTTAGGACAGACCTGACGCAGCTAATACAGAAGTGTTTCATGACAAAGGTCTGTCCTCTGGAGATGTCTATCGTGCACACCTCTTACTTGTTTCGCATTTTAATCTCGAAGTTTGGTGGGCATTATTGAAATTTATATTTGGGGGGGGGGGGGGGTGAGTCAGATGACTCTGTCTGCCAGAAGACCATGCAAAAAGTACTGAATTTGTATTTTTGGGGAGAGCAGGAAGAAGCCAGGAAGTCTCCTGTGGACCAAGTAATTGTTTACCTTACCTGCCTTCAACACATGATGCAAGCAGGGTGAGGTAGGTAGCAGGGACAATAGACATGAGCAAGGTCACCAGAGGTAGGCATTTTCTGTTTTAATGCATCGAGTTTTGCCATAAGACAAATTATGATGCCACAAGCCTATTTTGTTCCATATTCTTGGTTATTTGCACCAAATTTCTTAAAGCGGTTCCTCATGACTGCTTTAACCAAATGTTTTCTGTAAATGTCATGGTTTGCTGACCGGGAAATGACTGTACTCTATACATGCACTACATTGTTTTAACACAGGGATACTCTAAGCTGCATAGCAATTGTAACATCAATTAGATATTGATATGTAGCAACTAGTCAGACCGCCCCATTTGAAACGTGAAGCCAACATCACAAACTTTGTCATTAAATATGAATAAACAAGCCCAAATGGATGTTTTTGCTGCAGCTGAAAAGGCAAGCAACAATACTGGCATGGTCATCTAAAAGTTATGTTTTTTTTGGAGAAGAGAGATTGTTTTTGAGCATACCTATTATTGTCCTTGACATAGGTTAACCATGACAATCAAAATGGGTTGTTCAAAGTGATTAAAAGTGTTTTGGTTTGTGTGTTGTCAACTTTGTCTGATGTCAACAAGCATACACAAATAAACTGAATAAAAATGCAAATTGAAACCAGCCAAAAACTAGCTTTAGATATCATGTTTTTATCACAAGTGCTGCTGTCAACAGATAGGTGAGTTTAGATGATGTTCGTCATATGGGCTACTCTAAGTTTGGTTAAGTTGGTCAAGTGCATGACAAATGGCGATAGGAATTGTGCAAGAATCAGTAACTCACAACTGCTGCTGTGATACAAACAGGTTATACAGGATGAGATGATGTAAGGCCTATTTAAGTTAGGCATAGACTGCTTTCATGGAAGTAAGCATTGGTATTTTGTGGGAAACAGTGACAAAATGTTTGTTTTCCCTGACCCCATCTTAACAGAAGCCAGAAGTATGTCTATTGTGTTTGACTTGGCGATGGGCTGATGTGTAGGAGTCCAAGGTTGTTTTGTTTGAGTGTTTCATGCCTGTTGAATTTTCTGTTGTAATGTTGTTATTGAATTTCTTTGCTTTGATTTGTTTTAAAAGTCCTGTGGAAGGGAACTGAAAAGTGCGGCATCATATTATTGGTGTTATTAATTTGTTATGCTCATAATACTGTGATGAACTTACTATGTTTTAACACGCGCCCGGTTGGCCGGCTAGATACCCTACGCCCGGGTGGGGGTGGGGGTGGGTCAATTTGCTTCACCCCCCCTCCCCCCGCTGAGATGTCTGGAACTAAGAAATCTAGATACACCAAATTTACAGGGTGTCTTGACCTATACGTAAACTCACTTAGGTTAAGGTTTCAGCTTCCTAGGTCATGACCTTCAGGCCGAATAAGGTCAAACAAGGTCAAATTCCAGGTTGGTCTCCAAAGCGCTCCCAGAACCTAGGCAACTGTCTCTAAGCAAAAGGTCACAAGCCCATTTGAGGTCATTGGCCTTGTTCAACCCTTTGAAGGTCATGGTGACCAAAATGATACAAGACTGCTCTGCGTTTTGCATTGGAATAAGCGACAAAGATTGTGCTAGGCAGTATGTTCCTAAAGCAAAACGTTCGACTCGCGTCATCTTAGGTCAATGACCTGTTCTGACCTCTAAGAAGTCAACTGAAGGTGTATAATGCGGTTCCTGCTGTCATTAAATTCGGAATGAGCACCAGAGACCATCCCATACAGCAGGCCCTAGAGTAATAAATCTGGTTGGTTTTGACCTTGGTCTGAACATCATACTTGACCTTAGGTCAACGTAATTTACTCATTCAATATTTGTGGTGCCTAAGAAAGCATCTCAGAGATGTACGTCTTCGTCAAACGCTCCTTTGTTGCATCAGATTGGACGATTCCCTAGAAATTGCCTTCGCTAAAACCATGGGCTGACTTTGACCTGTCATAGGTCAGCGACCATACAAAGTACATCTAAAAGTTGCATCTCAAACGATCCGCTATGCAATTTTCTACAGCCATGCAAAACTTGGCGCAACTACGTCGCGCCGTTCAGAAACCATCCGGGAAAAGCCCTCGGGGGGGAGGGGTCAATTTGCACTCTTCCCCCCCCCCCCCCCACCTGAGCGCGTGTTAATGTATTCTGTCTCACCTGAATGCCCTAAGATGTTAAAAAACGAAATAGTTTTGTCAGGTTCTTGCTATTACGTCTATGCCAACTTGAAATAGATGTCTTTGTTTGTTGAAGCATCAGTCACGAGCTCATAAGCTCCATCTTTTGTGAATTGATTTTTTCACTGCCGCACGGTTTTTTGTGATGGAATTTTTCACTCCCACCCTAGTACAAAAGCGATTCTAGCTCCCTGGCTGTACGCCATTTCCCGAGCACCACTGCACGCTATGTGTCAGCTCCCAAGCATTGCTTTACACTGAATGCTAGCTCCGAGTCATGCTTCATGCTGTATGCTAGCTTCTGAGCACCACTTCACGCTGTATGCCATCTCCCAATCGCTGCTTCACATTGTACGCTAGCTCCTGATCGCTGCTTCACGCTGTACGCTAGCTCCCAATCGCTGCTCCACGCTGTATGTCGTCTCCCAATCGCTGCTTCACACTGTACGCTAGCCCCCGATCGCTGCTTCACGCTGTATGCCATGTCCCAATCGCTGCTTCACGCTGTACGCTAGCTCCCGATCGTTGCTTCACGCTGTATGCCATGTCCCAATCGCTGCTTCACGCTGTACGCTAGCTCCCGATCGTTGCTTCACGCTGTATGCCATTTCCCAATCGCTGCTTCGCGCTGTACGCGATCTCCGAGCACTGTTCTACGCGTTAAGCTTGCTCTAAAGCACTGTTTGTACTGCTTTTGATCGGCATCTGTGGGTATCCGTTAATCTGACGGCAGCCTGCTTATTGACAAATGTGGTGGACGTCGATAAAATCTACTTCCCTTGCTATTCATCTTCTCAGCATTCCGAATTGGGATGGCGCAACTGCCCGCGACTGCCCGCCCGTGCAGCCAGTTGACTTTACCTTTTGCCTGCTCTCAAAAGAAGCATGCGAGGATTCTGCATGCGTGCGTTGTAATTTTATTCGAGCCAAGACGACATTAAATATCGTGTGCGTGCGCCCGCACGCGCGCGTGCGTGTGTGTGTGCGCACATTTACACCTGAAAACGCTTCCATACCTTTAAATCGTTGCGTTTCCTACAAGTATATACGATTTGTCATGTTTTGCCTCATTTAGCATCTAATTGAGGCAGCGGTTTGCTAGATCAGTTTGCTCATGGCCATTGCCCTTATGTAATCGCTGATTTATTACTTTGCTCAGCATTGGCATAGCTGACAATGCTGAGATTATAGCCAAGGAAACATATAAGGTTTCGACAGAGATAATTGGGATGCACCGTTCATAATCAAATATGAGGTGTTGACTAATTCTATACATGTAATGCCACACCGCACTCATTGATTTTCCAAGGTCATGTTGAAGGCGTCGAACAATTTTTTTTCTCAGCACACATAAGTTGTGAAGCTGTTTGATTGTAAAACTAAACCAATAAGTTGTGATCGGCTCATCGGCATACAAATTACTATGGATGTTTTGTTGCAGACTGAAAACCGGATTGGTTTACATCGGATTTGATCGATCTAATTTTTGCCTTCGCCTGACATCACTATCCGTCCCCGCAACCGCACAAGTCGTTTCTGGGTGCCGAATACTAGCTGACGAGATAAGGAGCCTGGAACGCCATACAGTCGCACGAGCGAGCACTGGCCTCCACGCCCGCTTTGGACCCGGTCCAACGAGGCGACAGCCCTCTCTGTCGCTGGACCGAAGCTAACGTTCCAGCATTCTGTATGGACATTGGACTTTGAAGGGCCGCAAAGCAGCTGGCGGGTCCGCGCGTGGCACCACCGCTGACCTCACGCCAACTGCCGCACGGGTTGCGTGATGCCCGCTGGCCCACGCTGGCCGGGGTCAGAGGTGCGTTCCGCGTTACAGAGCCTACGCACGGCCGGCGCTGGCAGCCGCTCATCGTCCGCTTACTGACACGCACCCGTTCCTGTGTCCCCAGGTCGGTCGGAGTGCTGGCGTACGTGCTGTTGACGGGCTTCACACCGTTCGGTGGCGATACCGACTCTGAAACGTTCCGCAACATCGCCAAGGCCGAACTGGAGTTCCCCGACGAGCTGTTCGAAGACGTGTCAGAGTCAGCCAAGGATTTCATCCGGCGATGTCTGCTGAAGGACCCAAGGTGAGAACCCTCAGTGATCAGCGATGAGTGATCAGTGACTGGTGATTTGTGACCACTGATCAATCATCAGCGATCAGTGATCAGTGATTAGTCATCAGTGATCAGAAATCGTCTGTCTTTGTCCTCTCAGTGCCCTACACGCCGCACAAAGAAGGAAGGCATCGAAGCTGAAATATATATTGTTATCGCGTTTGAAGTCGATTTAGATTGCCTATTCACGCACGGGATGCAGTGTAATCGCAGGCATGTGCAAAATGCGTTCAAGTTGAGACTGAGCTGCACGGCTGACAGTTCTTGAGACATCGGTCACGTTGAGTCGCAGACGTTGTTTACATCTTGTCCTTCCGTGCACACATTTGCTGTGCACTGAAGGACGAGCGGCGTAGAGCGAACGTCGGGCGTGCTCGAGACAAGGTCCCATTTCAGTCGTCCTCCCGCACCGAAGCGCTTGCTGCTATCAGAGCGCCGTTAGTAAAAGGCTGCGCCGCGTAACAATGAACATATCAGGTTGTTGGGGCCTAATTGAGGGAACATAAGCGGGTGCAAAGCGGACGAGCGGGAGCGGACAAAGCGGACGAGTTACACAGCTCCGTGAGCGTTTGACGCCGACGGCTGCGCTGCGGTCGGCGGCCGAGCAGCCGTGTTTCGGGTATGTGCACCTGAGGCCGGGCATTATCCGGTGCACGGTGTACCTTCCACGAGAGCGGGAGTCACGGTCCCTTTATGGTGCGCTGACCGGGCGGACACCGCAGTGGCCTGCCTGGCCTGTCCGCTAATCTGTTGGCGGACAGGGAAGATGTTGGCCCGTGGAGCCCAGGTGAGTTATGACATGGTTAGAGTCTGAGTCTACTAGCACGGCAACCACGCGTCATTTCCTTCATGGCCGTGTTAACGAGCTTAAAACCGGCGACCTCCACCCTTGGGTCAGTTGGTGTGATGGCCCTCCGCGAGCACAGCAGCAGCCGCAGATGAGCTGCGCATCCGCCGTCCGCTGGCGCCGCTGCACAGCTGATATCCGGGGGTCCGGGCCGGCAGGGACGGGAGCACTGGACAGACCAGGTCTGACTCACACACGCCCCCGTCGCCTGCTTATTTGGGACGGTTATCAATGGCGACTGTTTCTGCTGTCTTCACCCGTGACAGCCGGGCCCAGTGACGCTCGCCGTTGGGGTGGAGGGTGTCCCGCCTCTGGTGCTGGATCTGCTGTCTTCACCCGTGACAGCCGAGCCCAGCGACCCTCGCCGTCGGGGTGGAGGGTGTCCCGCCTCTTGTGCTGGATCTGCTGTCTTAGCCCGTGACAGCCGAGCCCAGTGACCCTCGCCGTCGGGGTGGAGGGTGTCCCGCCTCTTGTGCTGGATCTGCTGTCTTCACCCGTGACAGCCGAGCCCAGTGACGCTCGCCGCCGGGGTGGATGGTGTCCCGCCTCTTGTGCTGGATCTGCTGTCTTCACCCGTGACAGCCGAGCCCAGTGACGCTCGCCGTCGGGGTGGAGGGTGTCCCGCCTCTGGTGCTTAGTGAATTGATGCCAAGCGGCGCACTGACGATCTGGCGACGAAGAGATTAGATACGGGAACAGCGTTTCTGAGTGCCACATAGACAGTGCAGTAGTAAAGGAAAGAACGCACAATCGGAGAACAAGTGGACCAAACAGCTGCATGTGTCCACGGCGTGATAGTCTTGTGTCACATGTGAGCCATGCTGCATCCATTTTAAAAATGACAGCCACTGTGAAGATAAACCTGTTCCGCCCCTTCGACCGGTACTCGGTCGCTGCAATCGCAACGCGACGCTGTTTTACCCCCATCGGAACATTCTGTATCCCGGACCATGTTGGTGGGTGCCAAAACATTTACGTCCACCACGACCTCTTTTCAGAGAGCGTCCCAGGGCCCGAGAGCTGCTTGCGATGCGCTGGCTGCAGCGTCGCTCCAGCCTGGCCCCTCCGGAGATCGTCATCGCCCCGGCCGCCGACAGCATCGAACACCTGTCGAAAGTCAACGACTCACCGAGGAACCTGCGCCGATCCATCTCCAAGAGCCGCGAAGTGCTCTCCGTCAAGGTCAGCAAGAGCAACCTGAAGAAGAACATCTCCAAATCACGGGAGCGGCTGTGTGACCTCAAGTTCAGCCTCCCAAAAAGCTCAGACCAGTTCCCGTCCTGCCTCCGAGCTAGCACGTCCCGGCTTGCTGACGGATCAGGTGGCAGGCCGCCGTGGAAGGGTGCCGGTGCCGGTGGGCCCACGAACAGCGTTTCCACCTCGGCCATGGACCGGGTCAACACGTTCAAGGTGCGGGATCAGTACCAGAGCCAGGTGGCGGCCAGCCTGAGCGGCAGCTGCCAGAGCCTGGACGGTGGCCCGCCGCCGTTCGTGCGCCACAACAGCCTGCGCGGCCGCCGGAAGACCTCAGCACAGAGCGGCGAGCCGGCCAACCTCCGGTCGTCACTGCGACGCACCAGGAACAAGGAGGGCGCTCTGAACCGGAAACACAGCACCCAGGCGGAGGACTGCAAGCTGGCGCCAGACAGCGACAAGAACAAGGAGCTAGACAAGCGGTCCGTGTCGTCTCATGATGGGTCTGAGCCAATTCCGCGCACTGAACGCCAGAGACGCAGTTCAAGGAAGGAACCGCTGACTTCCATGGATGAAGGCAATCTCAGTACAGCAGAAAACATTGTAGATAGTTATCAACACGAGCTCTCCATGCTCCGTACGAATTCCGGGAAATCGCAAGACACTAAGCTGAAGACAATGCAGGGAGTTGGGCATGGCGAAGAAAAAGAAAACCAAAAGCTAAATATGTCTCGCTCTCACTTGGTGTCAGCTACGAATAATTCAAAGCTGTCCAAGCTGTCCAATGACGAGCATCCACACACCAGCCAGAATCCTTCCGACGTGAATGATGGCCAAGCGAAAACTCATCATGTGAGCGGCAACCCGACGCTCACCAATGGCTTTCGAAGACAATCCTTGGCAGGGAAAAGCCGATCTCCGGAGTCGAACAGACCCGGCACGGGCGTATCAACACCTGGGTCCGTCGTCAATGGATGTGAGGCTACCGGGAAGACAGACACATTCCCAGTTTCTCCTCCACGTCCACCATCACGTGCCCAAAGTCAAGAAAGGAGGGCGAGAAAGCGGCCCGAGACGTCCGGCGGCGCGCGCCAGTCGGTACTGGAGCGCAGGAATACGGTGGCCGCCTTGCCTGCTCCCGCCACCGCCGCGACCTCTCGCCGCCGTCAGGGGTCATTGGATCGGCAGGAGCGCGGCGTTAACACCGTCTCGGCCTCCACCTGCGAGCGAGCCGTCAACACGGACGCCGTCCGACTGGCGGCCATCATAGACGAGGACGTGGTCTGGGAGCAGACGCAGGCGCTCGGGCCGCGCTCTGTGCGCGGCCGACCGGCCGTCGAACTGCCCCGCTCGCCGCCCACCCGACAGCGGCGCGAATCGAGCGAGCGCAAACTGCGCGAGCCGATCTTCGAGAGGTCAGCGCCGCTGCGCTCCAGCCGGCGCGACTCGTCCTGGCAGCAGGGATCACCTCAGCCGGCCGCCTCCCGCGCCAGCTCCACCGAGGACGGACGCCGCTGGCGCAAGGCCTCGGCCGACGAGGACGGCAGGGCGCTCCGCAAGTCCTCCACTGACGAGGACGTGCGCCGGCTGGCTGTCCTCTCGGGGGTCAGGACCGACAAGAGGACGGGCTCCACCGAGGGCGGCAAGCGTCTCCGCAAAGCCTCGGCCGACGAAGACGGCAGGCGTCTTCGCAAGTCCTCCACTGACGAGGACGTACACCGGCTGGCGTCTACATCCGACGCTCGAGACGAAAAGAAAGCGCCCCCAATCATCGTGAAGAGGACGACACCTTTCCACCGACGCTCCAGCTCCCTGACCAGCGACTTGGGCAGCAGCGAGGTGTCTAGCGACGCCGGCAGCGAGTCGTACAACGTCATATCCTGGGAGGAGAAGGCCGAGCCATCGGCCGGCGGCGGGCGGACCACCGAGCTGCGGCCGGTGGTCACCACGCGGCTGGTGCGGCGACCCCACTCGCGCAGCAGCCAGGCGGCGGTGGCGGCCGCCGCCGGCCAGGACGGCCGCCCCCAGAGCGCCACCTCGGCCCAGGACGGCGACGAGCGGCCGCGAGGCTCCGTCTACAGCCGGGCCGTCACGCGGGCCGTCGGGCGCTTCCAGGCGCTCGCCAAGCAGCCCAGACAGCGCCAATCCGCGGAGCCTTGCGCGAGGTCACTGAATCCCAGGGAGGGGGCAACAGCAGGCAGGACTCCTGGTCTGAGGTCAGCGTAGACGTTTGGAACGGCGGCGAACCTGTTGTGCATCCGGGCTAGCTGTGTACCTGATGTGAGTTGCTGCTCCTCTCTACACGGCTGTGTTCGACGCGGTGTCGAAGTTTTCATATATATGCAACTGCATTTGTTGGCGTAAACACACCACACACAAACACCCACACACACACACACACCTACCCCCCCATATATATATATATATATATATATATATATATATATATATATATATATGTTTGCATCCACTTGCGAACATACGTGCGAATGCAAATACGCTGATTTTCTCGCGTTCGTGTCGGGATGCACATCCGCTAGTTTGGGTGGCAAAGGAGAGAGTGGCCTATTCTTAAACCAGAAATGCTTCATATTGAAAGTGGATAAGATATATTGATTTTGTAATCCAATTGGTTAGACAATGCACTTGTATATTACTGAAGCGGTCTGTATTATCCCATGTGCTCTGATACTGACAATACATTGGTGGTGACTGCTGTTGCCATTTTGAAATTGTTATGCATGACGCCAAGAAATGGGCATTTTTTGGTATTTGCTACGCATAAACAGGCGACGATGAGTGTTCCTCCGGACCTTACATTAACACCCAGAATAATAAACGCAAGTCTGGACAGTCCAGGCTAAAAAGAGGAGGCAAAAATAATCAAAGAACAAGGTTGTAAAGCCACACAGTAGGTGCGGCTAGTAGAAATTTATTCAGCAGCGAAGAAAGCAAAATAGTGGTCGCAGCAAAAGGCAGCATACGACTCTACTAGCACTCGCCCAGGCAACTAGCTTACTCGCACGGCAATAGTATCATGACTTTGAGGCAGGCTTACCAGGGCAATGGCTCGGCCCGATGGATGCAGACCTAAAGCTCCAGATTCGGTCGCCCACCAAGGTTCACGCTTGGCGGGTGACAGAAAGACACAGTCGCACATTTCAAGGGTAAAAATGTACACATTGTGGCAGTAAAATAATACACACGTGCGCAGAGGTGCACGCACACAGACGCACGCCCACGCATACGCACACCACATCACCCTGTGGTCCATCAAATGCATTATGAGCTGCGGCCTGCTTCACGCTAATGTTTTTCTTAAGATCCTTCAAGGGATTGCTGCAAGTTTTCTGAATGTTGCAAGCTGATTGCAAGTTTTCATCACGACCTACGTTTTGTGCTACATAACGCAGGAATTTTGGCAATGTTTCCGGCCATGGGGGAAAGAAGACCTGAAACCGACTATCTTAACAGCGCTCGAGCGGGGGTTTAAGGTTTTCTAGAGTGAGTTATGAGCGATGCGGCGTAGCTTTAGCTGTGGACAACTAAAGGACGGATCTTTTGGTACGAAAAAACAGATGCGCCTTGAAGGTCACTGACCTATGGCAGATCAAAGACAGGCCTTGGCTATCACCGAAGAGCATTTCTAGAGAATCGTTCGATCTGATGCGACAGTGGAGTGTTAAGCGGAGCCATATGTCTCTGAAATAGTTTTTTAGGCAATGAGATAATGGGATTTCTAAGTACAAAAATTCTATCAACCTATGAAGGTTAGACCAAGGTAAAAACCTATCTGCTTTTTACTCGTGAGGTTGCTCGTATATGGTAGTTTCTGGTGCTCCTTTCGAATGTATTAAAAACAGGGTTTGCAACAGACACTCTTCATCAACTTCTTAAAGATCAGAGCGAGTCACCGAACTAAAATGACCCAAGTCAACATTTTGTTTTTAGAAGCATAGCGCCTAGCGTAATATCTGACGCTTATTCAAATGCAAAATTGGAAGCAATCTCGCATTTTTTTGGTCATTTTGGCCATCTTAAGGTGAAAATATTTTAATGAAAACCAGCGACCTTATATGACCATAACCGACCTTAGCTGGAAACCAGTGACCTTTTACTTGAACAGGTACCCAGGTTCAAGGTGGCTGCAGGAGGAGGCCTGAGGGCACTTCTGACACCCATCTTTAGCTTGACCTTACTTGACCTTAGTTGAGCCAAGGGTCATGACCTATGGACAACAAATTTTGACACAATTAAAAATGCAGGCCATTTTACGTACAGGCAATCCATCCTGTGAATATGGTATCTCTAGCTCTTAAATATTTGAGGTCTCAGGGGAGGGGGTGGGACAAAGTGACCCCCATCCCCGAGCGAAAGGTACTCAGCTGGCCACCTGGGCGCGTGTTAAGGGTAGCGTCTTAGTCGAGTATTTTAATACCAATTAAAGAGATTAAAACACGGACAAATATACCAGATCGTCACGAGAAAGGGCCAAAACCCGCGAACATGACGACGTCCGAGTTCGGCAAACAGGCATCAGTTTATTTGTTGTTGCCTTGGTAGCATCAGGTTCGGATATTTTAGGTAGCATAGTAGAGCCACATAGACCAGAATGGATGCACGCTGCAGCACAGCAAATATAGTTTTTTTCGGTGCATTTTGTTCATCAAAGTGGCGCCTTCATTTTGTGGTTACTCTGCTGACGTCACCAGTGCGTTCATTTCAGAGGGCATGATCGAGCAAAAATTGGATGATGGTATGCACTATCCAGTATTTTGTCATTTAGGCCTCTGAAAAAACATTGCAATGCGCCAGTGTGTGTTGCTCACGATCAATTATTAATGCACGCTCGTACAGAATGTTAATTTTGCTTGTGTGAGCTGCGAATGCAAATCTCCGTACAAGGCTGCAATAGCCTATGTGTGTTAAAACCAGTGAATTATGAAGTACAAGAAACGACTGTATATTCAAGAAGAACTTGCATTGGCATTCGGCTATTGACCTTGCCCCAGGGCGGACGCGTTCTGAGGCGCTCGGCGGCTGCATCGCGTGGCCGTGACAGCGGGCTCTGTGGCGATGTGTGGTTGAGCTGGGTCGGTGCCAGAGTTTCCAACAACGAAATGAAGTGAAGTGCTCTGAATACTTCTCGCCCGCAGATGAGCGCCCGAAGCTTGTGTGAGAAGTGAGCTGGGTGCGAGCGCACGGGTGAGTGGAGAGTGAACCCACCCAGTCAAAGCATGGATGACGCTGACGTTTTCCTGGAGGCAGATGTACGTTTTCCTTTCCAAAACGCCTGACGGGGGCCGGTCAAAGACAGAAGCCCGTAAAAAAAAAATGTTGAAAAGATTGAAGATAGTGAGTCAAGAGAATGTCAAAAAACCGTTAGGAAACTAGCATGGTTTAACAGGTGAAAGCTTTCTAGCCTCTAAATTTGAGGAGAGGATGCCCATGATCAGACAAAAAATATAATGCATCACGAGACGATTTCGACAGTGATCAGAAACTAATTTTCGCTCGCTTTTAAATGAATCACAGCAAATTTGGATGCTATTAAAGTCAGACTGGAGCAAAAGATTGTACATCTAGAATCACATGTAGCCGAACGTGACGACCGGATTAAAAAGGTCAATGATCAAGTGACCACCTATGATCAAGTTGTCAAGAAAGCGCAGGAAGACGTAGAGCCCAGACACAGTCAATGGAAACCGTCCGAGCTCATCTTGTCCGGAAAGGCGATGTCCGGCGCCCCGCCCTGACGCCGCCGCTGACGACTGACCCCAGAACCTGAGGGAAGCCGCCCGTGACGTCAGGCGGCAGCCGTTTCCACGGCTAGAGGTTGACCCAGACGACCTGGCGGACGTTCGTCGCATCGGCTCCAGAGTACTCCTCTGCGGGTTCGAGAGGCTTCAGGTCGCTAAGGAGTATCTATGCGAGAACAGAATGCTGTTGAAAGGTAAGCGAGATTACCGTGAGCTGTTCACAGGCGAACGCCCCACGCAATGTAAACGAGAAACCTTCAATAAGCTGCTCGAACTAAAAAAAAAAACGCAGGCGACTGCACTGCGTGCCCAATCGTAACGGGTCTGTGTACTGCAATATGACAGCACAGAAGGCAGTGTTGAAAAATCAAAGAACTGTTTCGTGATTAGTTCAGTGACAAAGAACTGCTCCGTGATTAGTTCAGCGACATAGGACTCTGTAGTTGGATGCTCAGTGGGTTTTGTTTACACGGGTTGCCTGGTTCTGGTGCCGCCTTGACCCGTGTGCGCCCGTGAGGCTGCGGAGCTTGGTGTTCGGGTGGCTGAGTGTTTGTAAATGGTAGCGATCTGGGACCGGAATGAGAACAACTATCCTCCTTACGGGATCGTATATTCCATCGTCCTCTTAAGCATATGTTGTTTTTTATCCGGTCCTGGTGAGATGGTGTCTGGTCGCGCACCGGCCGGTCCCGGTAAACTGGGCCTTACAAGCATGGGCGAGTGTGCGTGTGTGTGCGTATGCGTGTGTTTGCATGTGTGTGGCGGCGGCCAGCCGGCTGGGTCGCCGGAGTGGCGCGTGCTGTCGTCACGCATTATTCAGGACGGAATGACTCGACACGCTCTGCCCGGTATGGCCCTTGTTTGCGTTTAAGATGTATATTGCATCGTAACTGTTTGCTCGTAGTTAAGGAAATATTTGGCGTACATCCACGTAAGTTACGCTTAAGTTCATTATCATGGTCCAACACCTTATGTCCTAAACATTTCAACCGAGAAAAGATGCGGGTGGAGCATAATCGAACACATGTAGCGACGGCATGAACTTTATGTTCATGCCATTAAAAGTAATTGTTTTAATGAAGTGATTGACAGGGGGCTGCTCTCGTGGCTTAAAAAAGCAGCGGGCCCATCTCTTCTTTCTGCAAGAGACGCACTCTGTTAAAGGCGATGAAAGAATGGGGTATAACCATCGCTCCGATAAGGGATGGGAGTAGTCGACGCGACCCCCCCCCCCCCCCTCCCTCTTTTCCCGCTTTTCGAGGTGATCACATTTTATTTCCGGCTTTCGTGCCAAATGAAATGCTGGACCCCCAGACATCTAGCGGTAATGCTGGGTCCCCAGACATCTAGCGGTAATGCTGGGTACCCAGCCATTTAGCGGTAATGCTGGGTCCCCAGACATCTAGCGGTAGTGCTGGGCCCCCAGACATCTAGCGGCAATGCTGGGTCCCTAGATATCTAGCGGTAATGCTGGGTCCCCAGACATCTAGCGGTAATGGCGAGACCTGATGGGCGACGACAAGGCCAATGAACAGAAGGTATAATCGTCCGGCCAAATTCCGCCGTTTCGACTGATGACGTCACAAGTGTAATCGAGCCATTGCGATGCATAGGCGATACACGCAAAACGTAGTTTAGAAAGCTTGGTGAGCTAGTTTAAGACCGTAAGCCTGGATATATATTTGGCTTGTATGTAACACTACTATCTGTTCTTGCACCAGGTCATAATATTGGCCCAAAAGCGTATTTTTCCACGATCGATTGGCGTCAAAACCGAGCGCCTTTCCCTGTAAGGCCGGGAGGCGATATTCGAACCACCAAGTTTTCTCGGAAGTAATCGTATGATCTGTATACAACATACAGGAGCCAAAAGAGTTCGCGGATGTCGCTTTAGGAGAATTTAACAATTACGCATGGTAATAGGGGCGGTCAAGGTCAGGTCAAAGGTCTGCATAAGCCTTGCTAACATCAGTCTTACCGGTTCTAGGCTAACTTAAGCATGTCTCGTCTTAACATAGCATTCGTTGGCTTTGTGAGGATCATGTGTTACTAAAATACTGATGTCATGACCGGTTCAGGTCAAGGTCATGGCACGGAAGACCAGCATGAGAATTTGGATATTCACGGGGTCAGTGCCTAAAAACATCTATTTACGTCCATTTTGCCTATAACGCATAATAACTATCTATTAAAACTTACAACTTTTTGGATAAGTATAGCCAAGATGTAGGTGCAAGGTCAATATGAAAACACACATGGTCCATACATAGCCTAAAATAGGCTAGTCCTGCCACAGTTTTTAGAACATTTACGCTTTTCATGAAATCGCCTTAAACCTCATATCGGATCATTCTAGTACTGAAAAAGAAAACAATTTGCCAGTCAATCCAAAATTTTCACCTCAGAAACCCTGCAGTGCACAGGACAGAATTATGATATTAACCCTAAACTTGCGTCATAAACAGCTACTTCTCCGATTATTTCTGGTTTGAAATGAAGATTTTCGAACATTTTTAAAAATAAAAATTGTCATTTGCAACACACTTAGTGCAAGGCAAATTGTGGTGGCAAACAAGAGGCCGCACACTGTACACAAAATGGCATACAGAGCACTCGGCCACACATTTCATATATTAAGTATGGTAAAGACATTCAAGAGTAATCATAACAATTTGTGGCGAGGACCCAGAGTCCTTCTCAGCAGCACGCAATAAAAGACTAGACCACCAACTGAAAGACAGTTTTCAGCAACCTTATTCTAAACAAGAACTAAGGGCTACCATACACTCAAACACTCACATCAAACAAACACTCGCGCGCAAGTATCACAGTATCATAGTATATACAAGTATACAAGTACACGCTAGCAGGCATCAGCTCTTGGGGCGGTGTCCTTATTCTAAACACCACAAACACAGGCAGTAACCAAAAAGCCCAATCGGCATCTTCTAAAGCATCTTCCTTCATCAGCATCCTTCCTCTCATGCCTCCCCCTTAAGCGTCTGTCTCTGGGCGTCTCCTCACAGGCCCTGGGAGATCAGAGCAAAACATGCTGTGTGCTACCAGATCAGGTTGTCCTTTGAAGTGTCGGGAGAACATTCAGGCTGTATCATACCCTTTGTAATGATTTAAATCTCACAGGAGGTCACTGGGCATAAACTCTGCACGTCAAGACATGCAATGGGAGTTTCAAAACTTTAATATTTGATGAAAAACATGAAAATTGGTTTTTACATGACCAAAGGTTACTTATGCGCATTCCTTTGTTATATCATTCATGTGTTACAAATGACCAATGTATGTGTGACAATACAGATAAAGAAGCCATGCTAACAAATTGATGTCAGTAGGATCTATTCCCAGACACTTCTGATGTGCACATAAAGTAACATGGCTACCCAACCCAGTCTTAAATATGCATTGCAATGCAAGCAACAGGATTGTAAGACTTGATAGCTGAGTGATATGTTGAGAATTCGTGTCTCGCTGTTTGCAATACAGAACCCAGGAAAACTTATGTTTCTTGTCCCTTATTTAGTCCACGGGATCCCAAATAACCATAACCATTTAAAGGTTTGCTAGGATTTTTACACTAACACAAGTTTATGGGTACCAATGTTACTGGCATCGTTTTGACCTTCTTTCAAAAGTGTCAGTGTTATCTAAAATGCATGGCCAACTTACTTGGATGCAAGACATGGCAGGCGAAGCGAAGGAACAGCTTGTGGCTGCAACTTTCGTCGACCATGCTGCCTAGACAGGAGAGATGGCCCAGGTACACATTGAAAGTCATCTGCGGTAAAATGCAAGCTACAAATCCGAGCAGTGTCAGGGTTGAAAAACTTGTCAGCTCTTTTGCAAGCCAGCGATCCACTGCGACCTCACCGAAACATTACGAGGAAAAGTGAAAAACTAATCCCGTTAACACAACTGAAATATCTACAGGTCGCCACCGCACACACAAACGGCATCATGC